CAGGGTGTTGGTGAGGTCTTTGCAGTGTCCTACAGGGTGTTGGTGAGGTCTTTGCAGGGTCCTACAGGGTGTTGGTGAGGTCTTTGCAGTGTCCTACAGGGTGTTGGTGAGGTCTTTGCAGGGTCCTACAGGGTGTTGGTGAGGTCTTTGCAGTGTCTTGATTAGGTCTTCAGAGGTGTATAAAGATAATTTGTTGGGCTCTCTGTTATCCATGATTGGTCCGTGATGGTTTTGAGCATGTAAAAACCTCTGCAGTGAGGTTTTGCTGTTTTATTTTCTAGGTGGCAGTGTAATAATGACGGAGGACCTGTATTCACATGGTTAGGAACTGACTGTAAACATAATGAGGTCATGGAAACAACCCATGAGAGTAGTGTTGTACTGACGTTCTCTGTTCTGGCTTCATCCTCACAGGGTCCAATAAGATCCTGTCTGGGTGGTAGTACTGATATAGCATAGTGGTGTTGAAATAGAAAATATCAGGAAAACCTGCTTGAACTGAAGGAGATTCTGATCCAGCCGTGTTCTAATGGGTCATAGAGACCATAACTGGGTCACCAGTGTGAGGATGTCAGAAATAAAAGCCTTTACTTCTGCCACAGTAATTATCTAAACTTTGGTCCAACTCTTGCAGATTCCTTCAACAACCCTTCTGATATCTGGTGAAGATGAGTTCTCTTGGAGCCAACCTTACCTCAGCACTTGATCCCACCTTCTTCATTGATGGAATGACAGGATTGTTGGCCTCCAACATGCTGGTTGGTTTGCCGGCGAACATCTATGTTGTCTGGCTGATCTTGAGTGGGACCAGCGGTCCTGTGGTCTCAGAGCTCTTCGCCCTGAACCTGGCCATCTCTGAGATCTTGTTCTGCTGCTTGTCCTTCTACGTGATGCTTCACTTCCTGTTGAAGATGTCCATGGCAGTTGGGGTTGTGGTTCTGCAGGTGTTCTTAGAGATCGGGTTTATTTCTCGACCAGTTTTTCAGACCTGTATCTGTCTGGAGAGGTACCTGGCTGTGGTCCATCCTATCCTGTTCATCAGGTAACGTATAAAATAGATGGACAGGACTCTGAGAGCAGCAGCAGTGTATTTTAGAGGTTTATCATGAAGTTATGGATAGAAACTGTAGAATTAAAAGATTTGATCCTCAGCTGTACCCCACTTTTGACCAACATTTGTTTCCAACTACAGATTTCCTTGCTCCTCAGCTCAAAGCTTGTCTTCCTGTTTGCAGGTTCAAACCCCTGCGCTACAGGTTGGTGTCCTGCGTGTTCGACTGGCTGCTGATCCTGCTGAACGTTATTTTTCGTGCCTTCGTACTTTCCTTTGATATCTCAGTGTACTTTTTCATAGCCAAGTCCCTGCTCTTCTTCTTCGTCCTGTTGTACTGTGGCATCAGCGTTCTCCTCGTCCTGAAGCAGCCCGGTCCCGGGGACAAGGTCCGAAACTCTGAGAACAGCAACAGCATGAAGAGGAAGGCCTTTAAAGTGATCGCTGTCACCCTGGTGTTCACCAGTATGACCCAGCTGCTGCAGGTCACCATGCTGGGTCCAACCATCCTGCAGCCGTCCCTGAAGCTCCTGCTGCAGGTCACTCTGTTCAGCCTGGCCGTTAATATACTCAGCAGCTTCGTCACCCCTCTGCTCTTCCTTCAGAGAGCTAAAAAACTGGTCTGCATTCAGATCTGACTGCTGCTTTAATAGAGATGCTCCCAGTTTTTCAGTCTAACTGCTGCCTTTTGTTTGGACCACCATGATGGATCCAAGTTTTATAGAAATGATCATAATTATTCAGCTGATTTTAGAAGTTTGTCCTTCAGGATGACAGATAACATAGATCATGTGATTCTCTGAAGAATTAGTGGAAAACCTTCAGTTTTTGGACCAGGACTGGGTCAGACACCAGGCTGTGGTTCTGATTTGGTTTTCTTACCAGCAGCTCCAGACATTTGCTTTTTGACTGTTTGGTGAAAGATTCAGAGTTTTCTCTCACAGGAGACCAGAGCCAAATATTTAGTCCTGATGGTTCTAAAGCAACTCTTAGTTTAGTTTAAGGTCATTTTTTCCTCAGAATTGTTGTTTCCAGCAGGATTTAAGGTTTCCTTGAAGCGGTTTCCCTCCACGTTTTAATTTATTTCATGTTTAAAGAATTCAAGGCTCCTCCTCAGAGAAACATATCTGCTTCACTTTCAGAGTTAGAAATAAATATGTCCTCGGCTGAAACACGCTGCCTTACAGAACAGCATTAAGAGCATTATTCATGTCATGAACCTAACTCATGAGATGAAAAGGTTCCCCAGAGGACGCTCTTTATGTAAGTCATCTTAAAGCGGCGTGTGCGGTGAGGACGAGCGCCGACACTTCACAAGATGAAACCGTCTGCGGCGGCTTTGATTGTGGAGGTCAAACCCAGAGCAGCAGGTTCACACCGGCTCAGATCTTCTCCTCCCCTTCATGTTGCTCTAACATGATGTAACAGCGGGCCCGCGTCGCTCCCGTGGGTGCTGCTGAGCCGACTTAATGGACCGCCGCCGCTAGCTTCAAAAAGTCAGAGAGGAGGAGGAGGAGGAGAGGGAGAGGTGGGGAGGAAGAGGAGGCTGTGAAAGAGATGGAAGTGAAGAAGGTTGGATTAGGAGGTGTACAGATGAGATGTTTTGATTGAAACTTAATCTAACTCGTTTTAAAGGTTTATTTAAAAGTTATTTTTGTTTCAGTGGAACTTTAATTATTCACATAATTTATTGATCAGGTGTGTTCATAAAAAGCATCATCAGTAAATAAAACCCACTGATGGTCCTCAGAGATTTGGACCTTCAGAACTGTTCTGAGGCTAATGGATGTGATCAGTGGTGAGCAGCGCTAATTCAAATTTTAGTTCTGCAATTTCTAAAGCTTGCAACATATCCAGGGTGTACCCCGCCCCTCGCACTGTGACTGCTGGATATGGGCACCAGCGACCCACGCGATCCTGAAAAGAAGAAGCGTGTACAGACAATGGATGGATGGATGGATGGATGGAAAGCGCTAGTCAATTTATTTAGATTCGCAAGTTCAAATGCACAAATAATCAATAAAACTTAGTGGAAGCTAATTTTGAATCACAACATATTCTCTGTTCACCAGAAAACACTCAGGTAAGAGAAAAGTCAGCACTTTACTACCGTCTAGTGGTAAGATTTTTCTCTTTGACAGATTGGCACATGTCGGCGCAGAATGGGGAGGTGATTTGTAGAAACAGGCTTTTAAATCATGGTGTTAAAACAAAAAATGGTGTGAGTGCTAGTTCTGCTGCTTCTTGGTCTTTTTCTTATGTTTATGGCAGGGCTTCAGTAAGAAAACATGCAGATATGTTAGTAATTTAAAATTGTTGTAAAACTGAAGCAATGCATTCTGGGTAGGCTACAGGACACAGAACAGGAACTCTGTTTTAAAATAAGAGCATTAATTTAACTGTTCCATGTTTCTTTCTGTATTATTTATTTATTTAATATTTATTTATTGTCCCTCGGAGAGGAGGTACAAGCTGCACAGCTGAGTGTGGTTCTGCGGATCAGAACCGCAGATGTTTTGTCACTGAAGAAATTCTATGCTTTCTGTCACAAAGAATTGTGGGAACAGTAAAGTCTGTACCAAATGAAGACCATCACTGAGAAGAGTCAGAAGTCAGAGAATAAAGCTCTGTGAACACAAAGCTGACTGAGAGGTCTCTGTTTCCTCTCAGTGGAGATCTATTGTGTTAAGTAGAGACCGATTTCCTCTTCAATGTTCAATAAAATGACAACGTTTTAATGAGTTATGTGGCTACTAACCGTAGTGAGACTAGACGGCTCTTTGTCTTTGCTTTAGAAAAAATTGACGTTTGAATGTGAAACATTATTTGTGATTAGCGCTACTCAATTCTAAATTCAGAAAATTTAGAAAATGAAAATCCTCATTTTAAGAAATTAGTAAAACCTCTCAAGCACAAAGGAGACATTTAGGTCTGTAATTAGCGGACTTGCTCTTTAGGGGGCTGGTGCCCACCGCTGGGTGTGATCAACAGTACTTTCAGCTGTCTGATTCGGCTGTCAGAACCAACAAGTCCAGTTGGGATTAAGGACGGCCCGCGTCTGAATCCTCTTCCAGATGTTCACCTCTGGACTCTGTGTCCTCCAAACAGAGAGAGGACAGTTCCTCTGACAGAACCGTCCATCAGACCCACGGTCAGATCACCTGGTCCCTCTGGTCCAAATCCAAGCTCACATCTGGTTTCTGATGTTCTGACTCTTTATTAAAGTTTGGTTCAGCCTGCAGCTCTGAGTGAAGACCAGGGACTGAAGCTCCTCCAAAGTCTGATTCAATTTAAACCACCTGAACTGATTTCCTGCAGGTCTGCCATCAGATCCTGGTCCCAGGTGGCAGAACGGAGGAACCGGGTCAGTAAAGAGGAACAGAACAAACGTGTGAGAGAGCTGGAAGCACAAATAAAGCCACTGAAAGGAATTAGAGGAAATAAGGAGAACAGGAAGTGAGGAGGAAGAGGAGGCGCGTGGCTGAAAACCACAGAACTCTTCTTTGATCTGAGGACCTAACTGCACACAGACTCGCCCCGGTTCCTGGTTTTCCAGAACCAGAACCTGTTTCTAGCTTTTCTCAAACATAAAACTTTCTTAGTTCTCTGAAAGCGGATTCATACTTTCGCCCTGAAACAGAGTGTGGAGCCTGAAACAGCTGCTGGATGCTTGTTCCAGATGTTCTGACTGGCTTGGCCCGTCCTCAGAAAGGCAGGAACACTAATGCAGATGTTTGGGGGCGGGGCTTCAGGCTGTTTGTTGCAGATCAATAAAAATCATTTTAAATCAAACTTGATCCATCCGTCCATGTTTTACCTGCTTCTTCCTGTGAGGGACAGGGGACACCCTGGACAGGTCTGTTACCCATCAGTCTAACGTGTTTGATCTGTGGGAGGAAGCTGGAGTACCCAGAGAAAACCCACAGCTGCACAGAGACAACATGCAAACTCTACCCTGAAAGGTTCCCGGGCTGGGATTCAATCCAGCAACCTCCATGCTGAGGGGCAACAGCTGTACACACTGAGCCACCGTGCCTCCTTCTGATGTAACTCCATCACTGCTGGAAACAGAACCAGTCCCAAATCAGGTCCAAAACTAGACCACATCCAGGTAATTGGTCCAGTAGATCTGAAACTACTGGGGTCTGAACCTTCGGACCCTCCAGGACCTTCCAGACTTTGGCTGGAACCACTTCCATAGCCGGGTCAACAGGACCCATCAGAACAAACACGTCTTTAAAACTTTCCAGACCAGTTTATTCATCCCTAAACACCTTCCAGAATCTGGACCAGACCGCTTCAAGACCAGCCCCAAAACTAAGACCAAAACCTGGTCAAACCAAAGCCAGGCCTGAATCCTGAAACTGAACCAAATCCATGTCCACCAGCTCTGGTCCAAGAGGAGGACAGAAGCAGACTGAAAACCTGTTCAGACCAGGTCACTACATGGTCCAAACAAACCCACAACCCAAGTCTCAAACTGCAGTCCAACAGGTCTGCATCCAGTCCAGGTCAGACCAAGTCCACACTCCTGGTCTTAGCATCACTGACTTGGATCTATCAGGTCTTTTCAAACAGTTTTTAAAAGAACCAGTTCAATTAAAACATTTTTATTTTAGATTATTTTCAGTCTGGTCTACAGTCTTTACTGAGCCAGGAGTCCAGCAGAGTTTGGTTCTGAGGTTTGGTGGGGTTTATCTTGTGTTTTAAGAGGACGCAGGACTTCAGGAACACGTTCTGTTGGTCCACACAGAGACCGAGACTTTTCAGGAACCAACAGGATCCTGTCAGAATTATTAAAAATCAGAACTGAACCGTTTCATCTTCATCAAGTCGGGTTTTAGTTTGTCAGCTTCTAAATATAACGAGTGGAAAATATAAGTGTGTGTGTGTGTGTGTGTGTGTGTGTGTGTGTGTGTGTGTGTGTGTGTGTGTGTGTGTGGCATATGGATGTAATGATCGTCAGCTCGTCAGCAGCAGATATGATTACACACCTGTTTGTAATCAGATTATTCTTCACATAAACAAACACAATCTGGACGTGTGTGGGCGGAGCTCCTCCTTGGTTGTCATGGAGATGAAGCCACGCCCCCGACTGAACCCACATAATTTATCAGATTAATCTGAAGTGTCTCTGTGAGAAAACAGATCATTTAGTAAAGATAATCAAAGGTTCAGATTATCTTCAAAGACATGATGAACACAGAGTCCATTTTTACGTGTCCTCCATGTGTTCAACGTGTGCAGAAATACCAACACACGCACACACACACGCACACACACACACACACACACACACACACACACACACACACACNTACTTTGTGTTGACTCTTTTAACTCGTGTCGACTCTGTGTTGACTCATGTTGACTGTTAACTTGTGTTGACTATTCGTTAACTTGTGTTGACTGTGTTAACTCATGTCGACTCTGTGTTGACTCATGTTGACTGTTAACTCGTGTTGACTCTTCGTTGACTTGTGTTGACAGTGTTAACTTGTCTTGACTGTGTTAACTTGTGTCAACTGTGTTGACTCATGTTGACTGTTTTGACTCGTGTTGACTCTGTGTTGTCTTGTGTTGACTCTGTGTTGACTCATGTTGGCTCTGTGTTAACTTGTGTTGACTCATGTTGGTA